ATCATTTAAAATTTCCTTTTATTTTAGGTCTTATACCATACTCACTTTTCAACTTTGCTTCAGTTAGTTAATTGGTGAGGGTCTTTATAATAAGTGGGTTATTGGTGGGACACCCCAGTGTTGACAAAATGCATGCATGATGTTAGAAATGCATGTGAAGAGGATATGAACATTATCTGCTCCAGGAAAAGCATGTATGTCATGATGTTATTTATTCAGTATAAGGAAGTAAGGGACATGCAATTGGAGGTGGAAAGTCAACTTTGTAAGTGGGGTTTTAGGTTTGTATGGAGTTTGGTTGATGGGATATTCTGAGGTTAGAACACAAGGATACTGCTTATGATCCTCCGGACAATGATTGTATTCTGTAGTATCTTTGTACTGTTAGGCTTGAAATATTCTATTGCTTCCAATACTTTTGAGATTTTTGATGATTTCAAAAATAAATGTTATGCTGATTCTGTTGCAGGGACGGGGTAGTTATGAAGATCGTATGGAAATGCTACGCCTTATTGTGGATCTTGTGGAGGCAAGCATGTATGCTGATAACCCTGAATGGAGGTTAGACGTTTGATTGCACCTCAATGTTTGTGGAGATTTTATTCTATACATACATTGAAACACACATTTCATCTCAGTTTGATTATTAATTTATATTTGAAATACCTTAATCGTCTCTTCTCCTTGTAGTGTGGATGAACAGGTGGCAAAGGATATTCAATTGATTGATGCCTTAGCTGAAAAGCAGTCTCAAATTTTTTCAGAAGAATGCAAACTGTTTCCTGCGGATGTTCAAATCCAGTCTATCTATCCTTTGTAAGGAAGATTTCTTTTTCTCCATCAAATTGTACGATTAATTTATTTACTTATTGAATATGTTATTTTCTTTCAACGGGAACTGCTAAAGTCATAATGTGCTTTGAAAAAGAGGAAAAAATTACCTATATGAAAATTTGTATTCAAACCCTTCGGGGTGGCCCAGTGGTTTGAGCTTGGGACTTCTATGTTGGAGGTCTCAAGTTCGAAACACCTTGCCAACGAAAGCAAGGGGTTTGCTTTCTGGGTCGAGCTCGTCGCAC